AAGATATGCATCACTTTGATACAACATGGGGAATAAAACCATTATTTGTGTAACAGGAGATTTTCCAGGCATCTTTCTTTCTCTTTAGGCCACTGCAGAGCTGTGATGGAGCAGGATGGGGATGGTTTGGGTGACACTGATGGAAAACAGCTTTCATATAGGCAGGTAAATGTCATTTATTTGAGGTTACCCAATGGCTCAGGTCAGCAGATTGCCCCTCCACCCAGTCAGTGTTCAGGTATTATTTTGTTTTCTAGCACTTTCCCATATTCCATTTTCCAGAGCATCTTTGTTTGAGAATTTATGTTTCTGTGCTTAGAGGTTCTCCCACATCCCTCCATAACTGTACCCACTGAACTTTTCATCTTCTTTACAGGATTCAGGTGGGAATTTGGGCATTTAAAGGTAATCTCGACTTTCTCAATCTCACCACCTAAATTCATTTACAACCCAGAAACTGCAAAGGGCAAAACCAGTGAGGAATCACCCATCCAATTTATTATTTTACCCATCAGGATAAAAACCAGAGCCCACAGCAACAGGGCAAGCTCCTGTCTCTAATTCTGGCACCTCACACCTGCCTGATTTTGTAGAGCTCATGATCTCCCATTACAAAATGAGTTGCTTATTTCATTTCCCAAGAGCAGCTGACCCCAGGCTGAGCTTTTGTCTTGTGACCCCTGCAATAACCCCACAGCCCAATATTACCTGGCCAAATCCTAGAGAAAAGCAATGGGGAGTTACAGCTTAAACAGGCTTAAAAGAGCCAGTATTAGACAAGCTTTTCAATGTCTAAAACAGAAATAAGTAAGCAAAAAGTGGTTACTGAACTAAGACTCTGGGTAAAAACAAAAGCAACATTAGGAACAACCTACACTTCATGCTAAAAATTATTAACCTGTGCACCTGGAATTATTTAGAGACTAAAAAACCCCCAATTCTGAAAGATGGTAATTCAAACATTCTGTTATTCACACCAGAATTGACATATGAGGACAGGATTAAATAAAACAAGAATTTCACAGAGGTTAAAATACCCCAGAAATACCACAGTTGGTCATAACAGTTCAGGATTTGTCACTGTAAGAAAATAATCATCTGATGGAGGCTGGCAATTCACATGATATATTTGGAGATGTCTTCCAAGTAACAGTCATGTAAAATTGATGTTTCAAGTAATCTCCTGACCAGACTCAGCCTTCCACAGTAGCTGCTCAGGGGGAAACAAATTGAGACGGAAAATACTCCAAAACATCCATGAGCAGCAGGTCTGACATGACCTCCTAAAAGGTGTGAGGAGGTAAAGAATATTTTTGCAATAACAGGTTAAGAACCCTTTCAGAAGAAGTTTCTGCACAACCACTGCTGAATTTTCTGTTCATGTAAAGTTCCCAAAAACATGAGATCCTTCTTCCCAGAGTCATCTCCCAGTATGCCAAGACAGAAATAGTATTTTAACATTTTTAAATACCAAAAGCCCTAGGGACATTCCTCCAAACATGAAAACATTGTATTGCTTTTTTTGCAGCAATTTGATAATTTGCAAAGAAGGCAGAAATGACCCAAAAAGATCTGTCACAACTTTTAAAGGAAAAAGAAACAGAAGTATCCTCAACTTCATTAGGGATTTTTGAAATCCTTTTCTGCTGCACAGGAGATAACTTTCAAGGGGATATTATGGAAAATCTAGAGGCAACAATGAATAGGAAAGTCAAGGCAATTCACACTTGTCTCCTGATTTATGGTGGGACTGGCAAGGGCAGAGGAAAAGAGATGCTGGCACAGCCCAAACCAGGGATGCAGGCAGGGTGAAACACAAAATGGAAAGTACATTTCTGAAACAAATTGTTACATTGAACAATTCCATCTTTGTGGCTTTGTTTCTTCTTTTAACGCCAAGAAAGTTGTTACTTCATTGTGGAAACTGAAATTGAGCTGTACACTGGGTTTTTTATCTATCTGAAGAACATTCTGCATCCAGGCTGGTTTTCTCCCACAGAACTCTTTTGTTATGGAAAAGAGCACATTGGATGTTTTAGGAAGTTAAATGTATCAGTTTGGAGATGCCAGCGTCCCCCTGTGCATTCCCTGCGCACCTCAAGGATGTTTCCAGACAAAGCTGCAGTTCCTCATCCTTCCTCCCGATTTCCAACCGCCCCCAAAACTGCTGAAGTTTTGAGGAATATTCACAGACCTCTCTGCTTTTGGGGAGTGCAAAAAACAGCTGAAGGTGAACACACACTGCACAAGCTGTGAGTTTTGTGTGAGGAGGAAATCCAGTGCAGTTTTCCAGCTGGACAGCACCATCCACCACAGCAAATCCCTTGGACAGGACAGACCTTCCACATCTGAGCTCCCTCCATACCCTTGGGGACAAAATCTACATCTCAGGTTGGCTACAGCTGCCTGTTCCTACAGCTCAGATACTTCCTTCTAATTCTTTGATCCCTTTTTCATTCTTAGTCAGAGGAAGTAGAAGTTGTTCTTCAGAAACAAAGCTGCAGAAGAGCACCATGGCAGGGAAAAAGCAGACAAAGAAAGAACCCAAAAAATTCATGCAAGGTTCTAAAGGATTGTGCTTTCCTAGGGGTCCCAGGACAAAGATGAGGATGTAGAACCCAGCAGAGATCCCAATTTCCTCAAACACTGGGCATGTTCAGAGTGTTGTTTCTGAATAAATAAAACTCACGTATTCTGGAAGAGAATAGAGGCTACAGAATTGTATTTTGTAAAATAATATTTAAAACCTTCCCATCAAATGATTTAACTTCTGTATCTTCCTTACTAGAAAGGACTAATTGCATATCATTTCCCACTATATCTCTTAAAGTAATTACAAGAGGATCTGTTTGAGTCTGTACATTCATCTCCCACTGAGTTACCAGTGTTCTCTCACAATGCACTTTAAAAGTGTAGGATCTTGGGGGTTTTTGTCTGTTGCTCCCCTTCTGCTCCACAGAAACAAAACTGGCTTAAAGAAATCCTCCTGAAACCTGTAATATGCCATCAGATGGGGACTGGCAGCTACAGTGAAGAATTTGTCATTTTACTTATAGGGAAAAAAAGGAAGGCAGCAAGAAACAAGTTAGGTTTTGTAGTATGAACTTAAGCTTTTAGCAAACAATTGAAAATATGGGCCCAGAACTCCATGTATTTTCTAGATTCTGTACAATTTCCTATACTCTCCATATTCTTTCACTTCTCTCCTTCCTTCTTTCCCCAATAGTTTGCAACGAGAATCAACTCACCCTCTCACAGCACCTGAACTCACCCTTCAAATTCTTTTACTCCTTTTAAAAAAAGTCCTGCACTCCCAAATTCTCTTTTCTTCAAAAAGAACTGATTTCTGCCCCATAAAACCTCCTCAGGGCACCAGATAAACAACACTGCCTCTGCCCCAGGAGTCCCTCCTGGGTCAGCACCCCCAGGGATGCAGGGCAGCACCCCCAGGATGTTTAGTGATGTAATGGAGATTATGCTGAGATGTAATGGACATGAGATGAGGGAGAAGTGAGGGAAGGAGCAGCCCTGGTTTGAAGAAGCCTTTCCATGGCCACAGCCTCAAACCATGAGAGCCTTGGGGGGGTTAAAGGTGATTTCTTCAGCTCCCTCCTGCCCTCCAGGGACTGCCCAGAGCCTGGGGGAGCCCTGCACCCAAAGCCCAGCTCCAACACCATTCCCAACACGAAACCATCCACGTTTTCCCTGCCAGGCTCTCACCCTGCTCTTCCCCTTCTCCCCTAAGATCCCACACAAATGCACTTCCACTCTCTCCCCAAGCCTTTTCCAAAGCACAGTTGTCCACTCTCCTTAATCCCCACAAGTCTTGGCACTTTCACCTTCTCAGCCATAAGATGAATGAGAATCTGAGGTGCCAAGGGATTTGCAGACAAGTCCTGCTCTGCTCTCTGGGGTGTTTATGTAAGCCCAGAGAAATGCCCTGGGTGTGACAGAACCATCACCAAGAGAAACCCTGGGGCCTGCCACAGAGAGACAGAGCAGGACAGACCTCAAAGAGCTGGATCCCAGTGAGCAGGACAGACCCCAAAAAACCTCTGGATCCCAGGGATCAGTGTCTGTGAGCAGATAAACCCCAAAGAGCTGGATCCCAGCAAGCAGGACAGACCCCAAAAAGCTGCACCCCCAGGATGCAGGGCAGCATCTGCTGCTGGAGAAGCAGCACTGAAGGCTGGGAGAGCTGCCTGCTGCTTCCCTCCCAGGAAGAGCCTTGGAAGGAGTTGGTGCTGGCAGATCAGTTTATCTGGAACTGGCTTTGAAATGCCACAACATTCCTGGATGAACAGATTGCTGGCAATCAGCAGGGGAAAAAAATACCCAAATCCACAAAACAAACAGAGGAGACAGCCAGCCCTGAGCACTGCTCTGCTTTCAGCAGGGAACCAAGTGAGATTATCTGTGGGTTTGAGGTGCCTGCTCATGAGGAGTTTAAACACTCCCAGTTTCTCACAGACCATATTCACCTCTCCCAGTTTCCCCACTGGTTCTGCCCCACACCTGTGCTCCATGCACGTCCTCCCAGGGGAGCTTGGCTCAGCCCTGACCTTGTTGCGTTTCCAGTGAAATCAACAGTGAAACTTAATGTGATTTTTGATGGAAAAATGAGCATCTTTGAAGTTATGCCCTTGATATAGATTTATTTAGGCAGCAAAATGTCACTTTGTACATCCAAGTGCTCCGAGAGTTTGGATTGGTGAACAATTTTTTTTTTTTTTGCAATTCTCCAGGTTTTACATTATTATATAATTTAGAGCAAGCCTGTTTGAAGGCCAGTGCTGATGCTTCCTCTAAAAACATCAACCCACATTTCAGTATTTACAGAATGCAAAAGCTCCCTGATGAGGAAAACATCAGATATAAGCAGATAAGGACCTGGCAATACATACAAAAAAATTATAGAAATAAACCATTAAGAAATCATCACTTGCATATGCCTAAGCCCACCTACTAGAGCAAGAGACTGGGATAGATTTTCTCCTTACCTCTGGAGTGTTTTTCTTGAACTCACGACTTTGCTCAATGAGTTTTTTCCTGGACTGCTCACTTTCATCTTGCCGGTTTGCCAATATTGTTGCTGTGGTATCGAGCTCCCTCTGTAAGGAAAATAAACATAAACAAAATAAACAAAACACCAAAAAAACCCCAAAACAAACAAACAAAAAGGATAAAAAAATTCAGTCAGAGCTCTGCTCACCACAGAAATAAAAAACTCCAAAAGCCCTTATACATACATCATGTTATTGGGAATATGGAGATAGAAGGGCTGGGGAGCAGCACAGAACAAGCACCAGGCTTGCAGAGATCTGACCTCCTGGATAACAGCAAATGAAGGGCTGCAACCTTTTGGATTCCATCTTGCACACAAAACATCACCATTTTTCTCAAAACTGGCTCCACCCCAGCATCACACAGGACAGGAGCAATGGCACACAATACACACCTCCTAATAAATTCCCACGTCCAGTGAAGATTACAGATCTTGGACACATTCAAATCAGGTTTATTTTCACCTTCCTGCTCTTTTTAAAGATACTGGTTTTCCCCATTTTGAGTTATCCCACTATAAAAATTTATTAATTTAAGTATTGGTTAACCTTATACTTAAATCTGGACTGGTTACACCTCAGTCACTCTTAATTTCCTATGACATGCTGTATATAATTTCATATATTCCATTGTGTGTATATATATATATATGTATATATATTCCACTGCCACTGCAGTGCCCTTTTCCATTTAAGTCTTGTCTTATTTGAATACAAAATTATCTTTTTGCAATCTATTCCTCCAAGGCATCAGCAGGTATGTCCATTTCTTCTCCAAAACATATCTTTTTTTAAGATGAATTCCAGAGTATTTTCCAACAGTTTCTGCTAAGCTGAAGCACAGCTCCCACTGCTTTCCAGTTTTTTCCAAGTGTTTTATCCCCATCCCAATTCCTCCACTCGGTGCTGTGCCTCCAAATGTCACCATAATAGATTGAACGGGTCACTTATCAGTGCATAAACCAACAACACTCCATCTTCTGTGTCACTCTGTGCCTCTTCTGCAGTATTTCCACATTAAATGAAAAAATAAAGGCAAACCTCTCCATTCAGCTACAGACATTGTTCCCCAAGTCACTGGGAGAAACAAGAACTCATAAAAGAAATTTGGCACTGTTTTATCCTCTTATTAATTCAAAAAGAGAAAAACCTGGCTGTGAGAAAAGTTCATGAAAAGTGAGAACATGTTAGAGCACAAGTACCTTCACCTCATCCCCTCCAACCTGCCTGCAGAACTCCCAATATTCTCCAGTTTTCTACCAGAAACTTGCCATATTTCTGGAAAAACTCATATTTCTGTTCATAACTCAACCGCCTGTAAGGGACCAAAAGCACAAGCCTGGGACCTCCTGTCAGGTCTAATACCAGACCCTCAACAGGTGGGCAAGTTGCTGACTTGTTACTAGATACAAACATTACCATCTAAATATTCTGAAAAAGCCTAATTCCTAATTTTGGATACATTTTTGAATGGGTAAATCCTGGATGGACGGACGTCTCTTATGGAACTCCACAGTTTGACCTTTGGATGGAAAATAAAAAAACCCTCTTATGGAACTCCACAGTTTGACCTTTGGATGGAAAATAAAAAAACCTTCTGAGCTCCCAACTCAAGAGGATCAATATTTTTTCCCCCTTTAGGTTTATTAGCAAAAAATTAACATTTTTTAATAAATATATGGACCATAGTTATCCTAATCCTTGGAAACCAGCTCAATATGACAAATGGATTTGAAGCCAAGCAGTGTGCTGGAACCAGTGACCTAAATATTGTCACTGAAATGCTTAAAAATCCTTCCATATCTGACTTTGGGTAAAGAAACAGGGCAATATGTCCACCAGATCTTGGTTTGGAATTCTGTAACATATGTGAAATCTATTGCAGAAAAGTGGGAAATACTTAACAGTTGGATAAACCACATTTGAAATTCATCCCAGCTAAGTTTATGCAAGAAAAAAGAGCAACAGAAACCAATGTGGTTAAGCAGAACTATAAAGAGCAATATAACGGCTAAGCAGAAGGCTTTTAAAAAATATAAACAATCTGGTACGGCCAGAAACTTGGAAAACTATATTTAAAAAGGAAGCACACATTTAGAGCCAAGCAAAGAAAACACAAATCATGAAGTAAGAGGGAATTTCAGTGGAGCAAAGAACCAAGTGTTTGGTTTCTGGTATCAATCCCTAGCAAGGAACCTGAGCAATGGAAAAGCAAGATTTTAAGACTTGTGCTTCCAAGTTTAGAGACAAGAAAGAAAACTGGATAAAAAAGAAATAAATTCCATATTTTGTGCTACCATGAAGAGTCAGGGAGCAAATGACAAAGGACTTTCTCACCTCCCTGCATGATTGATACCAGAGCCACAGCACACTTATACCAGGCTCCTTCCCTTTACCTCCTGAACTCCTTCTGGGACAGGTCTGATCATTCCTCCCCACAAAACATTTCCTCCTGTGCCATATCAGGCACAGCTCACACTGCACTGAGCTCTGGCTCTGGAGTTCCACATCTTGCACTGATGAGCACCAAGAGTGAGAGATGCAATTCCAGCTGAGGAGCAGCAGGTATCTAACCCCATGGTCTGATACAAAAGCAGGTATTAAATCTTCAAACCATGCCATAGTTAATAAGACCCGAATCAAAACTGTTTGGAAAATTGCTAATCTTTTCTTCCTTACTTGATCTGAACAGTGTACAATGCAAGTTTCATTTATTTAAACCTAGTAATAGACACAGGATTATCACCCACAAGGACTAATGGCAGATTTTTCATACTTTTGTGATTTAATCTTTAAAAAAAATTAATGTGGCCAATGCATTATTTCTGCAAACAAGCTCATTTTAAGGAGCAAATAGCAGTAATATCAATATTTCAGACCTGAGTACATTGTAACACTCAGACATAAACACTTCCCCAAGCTTTGCAATCACTTTCTAAGTAGATAGCAAGTAAAAGGAGACATAATTCTGTACAGAGAGTCAAAAAGAGGAGCCCATGTTTCAGTATCATCCTTCCCTTTGAAATCCAAAGGGCTCCAATGAAAAGCAAACAAAAACCAGGGCTCAAAGGTGTTGCAGCAGTGACCTGGCTGTGGAAAGGATTCAAAGCCTGGAAATTCAGTTCTGAAGCTGATGATTCAACACTGGCTAATGAACTTTGTGGCCCAAAAGAGCCACCTGCAGAAAGGGAGCCACTGCTTGGAGCACATTTAGAGAACAAGCAAGACCATTATCCCTCCCCCTGCCCCAAAGTCCCATCGATTCAGGGCAGGCACAGTTCAGAGAGAACTAAAGAACTCTCTCCAGGGTTTCTACTTTGACCCATTTCAGTAAATTTACTCGGGGTGGGAGGGAGGCAGTGGGAGGAGAGGAGACAAGAAAGTCTTATGCTCCTAAGTGTGGGAGTCATTAGAAACAGGCCCCAGAAAACAAACGTTAAAAGCTTTCTTTCAGGCAGTACAGAAATAAAAAATCTAAAACTAGGAGGGTCAATCCACTATGCAGTGTAACAACAATCACCTTGGAGTGAATTTATGTTCCCTTAACTCAGGTGTTTCCAGACCCTGCTGGGCTCCCAGCCCATGCTGCCTCTGTCCCCCCAGGCTGATGTGGCTGCATGGGACCCACCAGAGCAGAGGGATCCTGCTGAAATCATCTCATCCTTCCCTGCCCACCTCCAACCAGTTCCCAGTGCAGGGCCAGCTGTGCCCACAGGAGGTGGGAAAGCCCAGCTGCAGTGAGGGGGCTGTGGAATCCCCCTTTGGGCACCAGCCTGCAATTAGCATCACCCCAAGTAATTATGAAACTGCAGGCTCACTGCAGGCCAGTTTCAAGGTTGTTTTCCTTTGCTGCTGACACGTCGTTGCCTACCAGATGCATTCTCTGATAATCACCCAGCAGCAGGGCTGCACCACTGACCAGTTAAACACAACAAGGCCTTGCCTTCCCATAATAAGAAGATTCAAGTCAGCTCTTCCATACCTGAGACCTGCTGGGTGGCTGCTCTCAAAGGTGAATCCTAAAAATTATTCACTTAGGAAAACAATTTTGGAAATAATTCACTTAGGAAAACAAGTGTGGAAAGAAACTGAACTTGCTTGGCTATTTATGAAGTTTCTGTTCCCTCACCCACTTCTAACAGTTACTGGCACTGCCCTGCCATGGGCATTTCACAACCAAAGAAACCACCACACATCAGCACCCCAATTCCCCCAAAAGCTGCTCCAATAACCAGAACTCGTCCTCAGTCTCTGCTTTGAACCAGTATTCCCATGGCCCATATGGAAGAAGTGACAGAAACCTGAAATAACCATCAATAAGTGCTGTGACATAACTGTATCCCCAATTTTTGTAACTCTCCCATATGTAAATGTTTAATCCTTGCTGCATTTACCACAAAGCTCCTACACTGGAACAAGAAACACATATCACAACTTTAAGACAAACTGATTATTTATGATATGGAATGCAAAGCCTAAGCTGTGCCTTTGGAAGCCTTAAGCATGGCTGCAGAGATTAACAGGACACCAAAAAGAATTTCTTCATAGAAGAGGTGGTCAAGCATTGGAATGGGCTGCCCAGGGAGGTGGTGGAGTCCCCACCCTTGGAAAGGTTCAAGAAACAACTGGACATGGCACTCAGTGCTCTGGTTTAGTTGGATTTCATGATCTCAGAGGTCTTTTCCAACCTTAATAATTCCAACCTTAATAATTCATAAACTCATTTTACCTATTACAATGACCAACACAAACCACAACTTCATGTAGATCAGGAATTTTCTAGCAGTAAGTGCAGCATTAACCACTTCCCCTGAAATCCTGTTCCTGTGTACTTGAGGTATTTCCCTTTATCACCAGTTCAATCAGCTCCCCAGTCTACAGATAATCTGCTTCTGAAAGGAATTTTCAGAAGTTTCATTTCTGTTTTCATCCTCTCACAGGAGTGCATTTGTCAGATCTATAAAAGCTCTCAATGTAGCTTTTTGCAGTTTTTAATTTCCTATTAAAGGAAAGTTTCCTGGTGCCAGGATGACACCAATGTAGGAACA